AAAAATTGATGTGGGTACTTAAATGAAAGGTCTTGATGAGTGTAACATCGGGATGAGCTTATATCTTTAAAAATATTAATAGTTCACAAGATACAAAGTCATTTCTTAATTATGTATCTAGAGATAGAAAATTTTTGAATGTAGTCTAAATACTTATCATAATTAATTGACTGTCGGTGAGAATGATATGAAACCTTGAAAAGGCACAAATTCAAGTCAAGACCTTTGCAATGACACTAAATATCACTAAAAAAACCGATTTTATCATATGACTATCCTAGAGATAAAATTTTTCTTATTATCTTAATATTATAGATTAATCGTTTGGTTTGTTTCCATGCAATTTATTTAAAATTTCTTTTTTTGATAATTTTTTTCTAAGAAGTCAAGAAAATATTTGACATTTGCTACTTTCACTATCGTGAGAAATTTTTTTAATTCTTTAAATAATTGATTTAAATTTTATGGAAATTTAAAAGCAGAATTAATTAGTCCCAAAGTAGAACCGTTACGGTTAAATTTTTTCCGTCACAATATTACCATTAAAATATGACAAGTTCTACGCGCCTGTATAATTTATATTGTTTTAAGTTTTTTTTTTTTTTAAATAACAAAATTTTTTATTTTTAAAAATATTTTACCAATCTAAACTTTAGAAAAACAGTAGAACTTTCTAACTTTAAAAATTTTCTTTTTTCTTCAAAATCCAACTTGAGAATTGACCTTCGATAAGAAGCATAAAAGTTTCTGAAACAAAATAAACTTATACTAGGAAAAATGTCTTATTTGAAAAAGACAAGCGGAGATTTTTATTCAAACCTTTTTTTATAGAATTCAATCCTTCACAAAAGATCCTTGAAATAAAACCTACCTTTTCTAAATAAATCAACTTCTTCAAACCAAAATGTGGGCTTTTTAATCTTTCCAAACTTTCACCCTCGGTATAAGTACTTACAACTAAAAAATTCGATAACTCAAATTTTTTATCATTTGTTTTTTAACTTTAGTTTGTCAAAGCTTTTTTATTTGGAATAAAATATCTCACAATAAAATTACTGAAATTAATTGACATCCAACAATCTTTTAGATTTTTATGACAATTAAATTATTATTAAAAAAAATTGATCATGTAGAAATTAAAAAAAAAAATTCCAAGTGTCAATTTTAAAAAATATTTTATTTTACCATAATTTATTTATCACAAAAATCCCAAAAATTTTCACCTGTCACTTAAGTTTATTATTATAAAATTCAATGACATTAAAGATAGCAGTCACCTGACCATTTTTCAATTTTATTTAACAAACAAATTTCTTCCGAGAAAGTATCTTAAAAAAATTGCATTTCTAATTTTTTAAAATTTCTAAGTCAATTTTTTTTGCCATAATTTATTAGTCACAAAAATTATAAATTATCTGTTAAATTAATTTCCATTAAAATTCACCCTGCAAAAAAAAATGAAAATAAAATTAGCAGACAGCTGACAATTTTAAGAACATTTTTTATTAATAAAATTATTACAAAAAAATTAAAAGAAAAAATTCCACATGTAAAAAATTAAAAAAACTATACGTGCAATTTTTTTTTTAAACATTTATTTATTACAAATTCAATTAATAAAAAAAAAAATAAATATTAATTTAGCAGATATTTGATAATTCTAAGAATTTTTTTAACAAACAAATTATGGCAAAAAAATAACACTAAAGTTTACCGACATTTTTAATTTTTTTTCAATAATTAAATTAGAATAAAAAAATATTTTTTTTTTTAATTGCTCTTACAGTTTTTCAAATTTTTTACAAATGCAATTTTTTTTTCATATTTTTTTAAATAATTTTTTAATAAACAAAAAAATTAAAAATTTTTCGATGTCGGCTAACTTAATTTTTATAAAAAAAAAAGTAAAAAAAAAATTGACAGAAATTTTAAAAAATAAAAAATACAATTTTTTAAAAATAATTTTGTGAAAAAAATCTATTTGGTAAAAAAAATTAAAAAATGATTGCTAACTTTAATGTCATTAAAAAAAATAAAAATTTTTTGCTGTCGGCTAACTTAATTTTTATCAAAAAAAAAGTAAAAAAAAAATTGACAGAAATTTTAAAAAATAAAAAATACAATTTTTTAAAAATAATTTTGTGAAAAAAATTAAAAAACGATTGCTAACTTTAATGACATTAAAAAAAATAAAAATTTTTCGGTCGGCTAATTTTAGTTTCATATAAAAAAATAATCTTTAAAAATCCCTTCTTAAAAAAACCTTATACTTGCCTACCATATATTACTTACATTTGTTGAACGACTTAAATTGAATGAAACGACATAAATTAGACCTCGGACATTGCCCTGATTATAATAATTTTCCCGCAACAAAAAATTAATTACCCTCCATCAAGATTCCTGAAGAAGAAATAAAAAAAAAATTCACTTACTGTCAGATTTAAATCCCCGAAGAGAAGAACTTTAAAAAAATACGTAAATTCTTTAAAGTATTTAATTTAAAAGTCCGAAATTCAGTTAACCCCATCAAGAGCGACCGTAAGATATCGCCCTCTGGCGTTAAAAATAATTAAAAATTTCCTTAAACTTTCTCTTTCTCTCCCTACAAAATGGTGAATGTTCTCACTCTGTTAGCTCCTTACACCAGTTGCTCTTTATCTTTCTCTTTCTGTCTCTCGGTGACCGGAGTTGTTTCTCCTTGGAATTCCACAGCGATTCTCAAGTTAAAGTGAACATAAGTCTGGTCTGAAGTGTCTCGAGTTGCCGAATGGGAATGGAAAATGTAAACCAACCTAATATAAACTGAAACGGCAAACGGCAAACGGCAAACGGCTAAAACGTTTGCTGAGCTAGTACAAAACCCCGAGCGAGATGAAGAGGATCACGAGCGACGTTCAAAGGTGGTCCCCTCTCCTCGTCCTTATCTTTTCCTCTCCTTCTCCTTTTTCTTCTTCTTCTTCTTCTTCTTCGTCCATTCCTCGTACCCGTATTATACGAAGCCTCAGAACAAGAGCCGACTTACTTACCACTTACACACTTTAAATTGTGCTCGTTTACTCTCTCACCAACGGAGAACTGAACGTGAACGAAAACAACCAGCTACAGCCGACACGGTACGACTCCCTCACCCTCACCATCACACACTCACACAGACTCAGACAATTCAGCAGACAACCGCTGTTCAGTAACAGCCTACTGGCTCCAGTAACTCAGTTACACTCTGTTCAGTTCAGTTAAATTCTTTCTACATACACAACTTCTCGTCAGTTGCTGAGCAAGTCTTACAAACACGAGACAGCAAAACTTATTCTGGAATTTTATTATTATTTCTGTTTCCATGCCGGTTACTTCTTACTGGTTATTAACTTCCGTCCATTACTATCAACAATACACCTTTAAAAAGTCCGTTTTGTCAATCTTTAATTTTTAAATATTTAAATAACCATCAACGCCACCAACAATAAATAATAAAATATTTGTCGCGTGCCAATGATAAAATTTAATAATTTAAATTTTATCAATAGTGTTTAATATTATCATTCAAGACCATCTTTGTAAGTGTGACAAGTTTACTAAGTTTACTAAGTGCCTAGTAATCCTAGATAAGTTTATCAAAATTAAGTTAGCCGACATTTAAAAATTTTTAGAATTTTTTTTTTTATTGAAAAAATGATTACAAAAAAATTAAAAAAAAATTTCACTTGTAAGAAACTTTAAAAACTATAAGTGCAATTTTTAAAAAGTGTTTTTTTGTTCTAATTTAATTATTAAAAACGTCGGCTAACTTTAGTATTATTAAAAAGTTTATGAAAATTAAGTTTGCTGACATTTAAAAATTTTTTTCATTAAAAAAATGATTACAAAAAAATTTTTATTTGTAAAAAAATTAAAAAACTGTAAGTGCAATTTTAAAAAAATATTTTTTTGTTCTCCTGCTGCTGTTGTTGCTGTAATTGCATTTGTTGCTGGTGATTATGCAGCTGTTTATGCTGATGCTGGTGCTGATGATGGTGGAGCTGATTAGGCGGTGGATACGGCGGCGGTGGTGGAAATTCTAGATTAATATACCTCGTACCCACAGGACCAGAATAATTTGGACCCGAAGAAGCCATCATCTTCAAGTCTAAATCAATTACTAAAATAAATACAACACATTATCATCATCACCATCACTTTAGTCAATTATATTTAAATTCAGACACGTGGCTGTAAAAACTTATAATCACTTAAATTAAATTAAATGATTCATCACAAGTACCCACTTGCTAGTTCCATGACACTGTTATATATATCCAAGAATAGGCATCACTGATCACACTGTTGTCGCAAACATTCCCATCAGCAGAACAATAATCTCTCTCATTACTCTTCTTCTTCTTATTCTTTTTTAAACTCAAAACTATTATCTCCTCTTAAAGTTATTTAAACTACTGTTTTATCTTATCTTACACGAGTACTATATACCTCCAGCATCAGCAAAGCACCACTACACACGTCCAGTCCACCGCAAACTCTTTCTCCGAGTACGAGTGTCAGAAGATAGCTTTGCGTTCATCCATTGTTAGGAATAAACGAGCACGAGCACGCACGCCTCTCGAGACCGGTCAACTGTTGCTCGTATACCCCGTTCCACTCGGTTATTCTCCCATGAATGCGAACCAACTATCACAAGACCGAGAGTTTATATATATATATATATATATATATATATATATATATATATATATATATATATAAACTCTCGGTCTTGTGATAGTTGGTTCGCATTCATGGGAGAATAACCGAGTGGAACGGGGTATACGAGCAACAGTTGACCGGTCTCGAGAGGCGTGCGTGCTCGTGCTCGTTTATTCCTAACAATGGATGAACGCAAAGCTATCTTCTGACACTCGTACTCGGAGAAAGAGTTTGCGGTGGACTGGACGTGTGTAGTGGTGCTTTGCTGATGCTGGAGGTATATAGTACTCGTGTAAGATAAGATAAAACAGTAGTTTAAATAACTTTAAGAGGAGATAATAGTTTTGAGTTTAAAAAAGAATAAGAAGAAGAAGAGTAATGAGAGAGATTATTGTTCTGCTGATGGGAATGTTTGCGACAACAGTGTGATCAGTGATGCCTATTCTTGGATATATATAACAGTGTCATGGAACTAGCAAGTGGGTACTTGTGATGAATCATTTAATTTAATTTAAGTGATTATAAGTTTTTACAGCCACGTGTCTGAATTTAAATATAATTGACTAAAGTGATGGTGATGATGATAATGTGTTGTATTTATTTTAGTAATTGATTTAGACTTGAAGATGATGGCTTCTTCGGGTCCAAATTATTCTGGTCCTGTGGGTACGAGGTATATTAATCTAGAATTTCCACCACCGCCGCCGTATCCACCGCCTAATCAGCTCCACCATCATCAGCACCAGCATCAGCATAAACAGCTGCATAATCACCAGCAACAAATGCAATTACAGCAACAACAGCAGCAGGTTCAACACCAATCTCAGCAGATTATCCAGGATTATTCGTACGCCTGCTACGAAGCTGGCCCCAGCCACAGAATCTCCCTCCTTTATCCCCATCAGTGTCCCCTGGAAGAACCGTCGAATCATCAATGGGCTTATCACCTGCAGCGGCAGCCACCTGTTCGGGATTCCTCCAAAAGACACACCTATGTCACACGATATGGAACTGAAGAAAATATCTATGAAGAAATTTCAGAGATCAGGTAGGTAAAAAAAAAAAAAGATAAAAGAACAAGAAGGTTGACTACTATTTTACTAGTTTTGACTTTAAAGGCCCCGTAAAAATTACGACGGTATTTTATGGGGGGCCCGCTGGCCTATTACATTAAAATTTACTTTTAAAACTCCGGAAAACATTGCCGACAATGACCCGTTATTTTATGATTTTCACGCTTTCAAGTGATGAAAAAAAGACCAAATATTTTATACTTTTAAATTCCGACGACTTATTGGGTGGCACTTTTTTTTATTTTATTATATTATTGTTGGATTTTGTAAATCAGAGTAATATTGAGTCACTTTATTCGTTGAATTCTTAAAAAATTAAAATATGTTGCAGATAAGTAGAATTAATGACATTAAAATTAGCAGTCACTAGAGAATTTTTTTAACAATAAAATTTGTTCCAAAAAATTATTTTAAAAAAATTACATTTTTTATTTTTTTAAATTTTTACATGCCAATTTTTTTTATATTTTTTTGTCATAATTTATTTGTTAATTCGTTGAAATCTTAAAAAATTAAAGTATGTTACAGATAGTAGAATTAACGACATTAAAATTAGCAGTCGCTAGAGAGTTTTTTAATTTTTTTAACAAAAAAATTTGTTCCAAAAAATTATTTTTAAAAAATTGCATTTTTAATTTTTAAAAATTTTTTTTTGCCATAATTTATTTGTTAAAAAAAATTCTAAAAATTATTGAATATCTGCTAAATTTATTATCATGTAGAATACAATCTTTTGGGGTATTTGATTTTTGAGGCTCTTAAATTTTTTTGCCAACAAAATAGTCTTTTAAATAGAAAGCTAATACTAGTCCGTTAACTTTTTCTACTGGCTTCATAATTATATCCTTCGTTTTGAATGAACTAAATTGATTTAAACTTTTATTTTAAGAGTAGAACAGAGAGCCCATTTAAAGTCAAGAACATTAAAATCCCTTGTTTTATTTTATTGTTTGGTATTTTCGTTAGAAACAACAGCCTCCATTCAAAGAATAAAATCAATAATAATATTTAATTTTAAATTTAATATTTGTTTATTTTATTCAGTTATTTTTACATTAGTAAATTCATAAAAATTTTCTTGTTTGATTAAAAAAAATTTTTTTTTCAATTTTAATGAAATTATTTTTATTTTAGCAAGCAATGCCGATATGGACTCAGTGACTCGCATCGTTCGTTGGTCGCCGAGGAAGTTCGTAGAGTTCAGTCACGTCACCGTCGAGTCCTCGGCGAGCTGAATCTTAGTGTAGAGGCGATGCTAATGCCCAGCACGGCTGAGGATAATGAGAACGAGGATGATAATAATGTTGCCAACGAAAATGAGGAGGTCGAGAAAGGGCGGTATGGAAACAGTAATATCGACAGTGCCAAGAGAATCGCTTCTTCGAGTTTTTTGTCATGTCAGGGTCCGCGTCACGAGGATTCAATACCCTCGGCGCATCATTTTGTTGGCTGTGACCTAGACAGCGGGTTCAGTGGGAGCTCCAGTGCTAGCTACAGGTATATTTTCACCAAGAAAATAGCTTAAATTATTATAAATAATATCTTTACTATCAATATTGTAATTTAGCTAGACAATAATTTTAAATTCGCAATGGGAAAATTTTTTGGTAATTATTTACAAGTGGGGCCTCATTTTGGGCCATAAGAGAAAAAATTAACATTTTTTAATTTTTTTTATTCTGCTTGTTTTTACGGCGCGTGTATAATAAAAAAAGGGCATTTGGCAGCCGAAATGGAAGTAGCTTCATAATAAATAGAAATAAAAAATTACTAGGATTGTATTTAAAAAGAAAAAAAAAATACAGTGCAACAGCAAATTTCATAATTGGCATAAAGGAATAGGACATAATTTTAAGACTACACATATGATATGGTGCTTAAATTAAAGTTTATTTAAAGAATTTTTAGATTCAATTTACAGAAATTCAATAATTTATCTCATTCAAAAGTTATTCAAGCAAGAAAGTGAAGAAATAGGAATTTTTGAAATTTTGAAATCCTGGCATTTCTAAATTATTTGACCGATTAAGCTCATCTTCGAACTTGACTTCGGTATTTATCTGTAGAATAAGTATGTTGAGTTTGGCCGAGATCTGTTGCTAATTGTAGACACTATCGTTCTGACAAATCGCGTTATATCCCATATAAAAAATAAAAAAATTAAGATTTCGATAGCTTTTTTGCTTTCAAAAGTTGGGAAAATTTTGGCTCTCATGTTTTTAAATAAAATTTATATTTTATATTTTTTTTTATATTTAAAAATTAAAAAAAAAAAGTTGAATATCACAATTTTCTAAAAAATTTATAAGTTTTTTTGAAAATTTGTTAAAATTCTGATAATCAACTTTTTTTTTTTAATTGTTCATTTTTTTATGTAATTAAAAAAATATATCAATAAAATCAAATAAAAATTTAGTTCAAAAAAATTAAAATTAAAATCGTTGACCCCACTTGTAAATATTTACCTTATTTTAAAAATATAAATTAAGTAGAAACAAATGGAAAGAAATGAAAAATTTTTACTTACTCCCAGCCAGCTTGAGGAAAATATTTTTCCATTTTCTTTTCTCAGTCGTATAAACTTCGGGGTCAAATTTTCTGCCCCTTAAACAATTAATCAAAACAATTGGGTCAAATCAACTCTTGATATCTTTTAAATATAAAAAAATTGATTAGAAAAATAGAACAGAATAAAATAACAAACTGACATCTAAATTTTGCGTGATAAATGTGTGTCATATCACGATAATATCTAAAAAGTTATCAAAACAATCGTCTTCACAATTGCCAGTTATATTATTTACTCTTAAAATTTAATGAATAATTATTAAAAAAAGTTGAGTAGTAACTATTACAATTTTCTAAAATTTTTTTAATTTGTTAAAATTGTATGATAATCAACTTTTTTTTTTAATTGTTCATTTTTTTATGTAATTAAAAAAATATATCAATAAAATCAAATAAAAATTTAGTTCAAAAAAATTAAAATTAAAATCGTTGACCCCACTTGTAAATATTTACCTTATTTTAAAAATATAAATTAAGTAGAAACAAATGGAAAGAAATGAAAAATTTTTACTTACTCCCAGCCAGCTTGAGGAAAATATTTTTCCATTTTCTTTTCTCAGTCGTATAAACTTCGGGGTCAAATTTTCTGCCCCTTAAACAATTAATCAAAACAATTGGGTCAAATCAACTCTTGATATCTTTTAAATATAAAAAAATTGATTAGAAAAATAGAACAGAATAAAATAACAAACTGACATCTAAATTTTGCGTGATAAATGTGTGTCATATCACGATAATATCTAAAAAGTTATCAAAACAATCGTCTTCACAATTGCCAGTTATATTATTTACTCTTAAAATTTAATGAATAATTATTAAAAAAAGTTGAGTAGTAACTATTACAATTTTCTAAAATTTTTTTAATTTGTTAAAATTGTAATAATCAACTTTTTTTTTTTTAATTGTTTATTTTTTATTATCAATAAAATCAAATAGAAATTTCGTTCAAAAGAATGAAAATTAAAATGGTTGACCCCACTTGTAAATAATTACCAATTTTTTTACATTCCTTGATCACGTACGAGTATAATTATTCAACACAAAACAATTAAAAAAAATTCTAGAATTTTTATTCAACATCCATTATATAATAATTGGTTAAGTGACAAGTTTCTATTGTACATATGTGAAATTACAATATAATGATTGGTATAACGTGAAAAAAAGCTGATTGAATCGACAAAAAAAAAGATTTAAAATGAACATGCATGCAAGAAACTCTTATAACCAAAGTGTCGTAGAAGATTAATTTATACTCGGGCATTCTCCTTCTATATTCACTTTCTACTACTGTCACTCTCGATAGTATATAGTATAGAGTATCTAGAATAATATATACAAACATAAACATACACTTACGTAGATGTTTATGAATGTGTATACAAATAATGTCAAACTTCCGCATTATGCATAGCTGAGACTATTTATTTACTTTCATATACAATAAAATTTTAAACCGACAGTGATAATATGTTGATTTAAACAGAAATAAATTTTTCAGATCGGGTCTCGGTTCATTGAGAAGAGAATGGGAAAAATCATCTATTGCCTCGACGTCCTGCACCAAACTTATCGGCAGTAGTCACCAGAACCGCAAGACAAAAGCGTCGATGATTTGGAGGAAAGGCTGGAAAGGATGGAAAAAACTCCAGGTCTTTCAGAATAAACTTACCGGTAAGTTTGAGAATTAATATTTGTACACAGAAAATAAGGTTCAATTGAACCAAGAAAATATTTTTCTTCCTAATTATTTTCTTGAGCAAAAAAAAATTTTTTTTGACACAAGAAATTTCACTTATTCCAACAAAATTAATTCTCTTGCTTTAAGAAATACGTATCTTGATCCAAGAAAATTTATTCAAGTCAAGAAAATCTTGTTTTGAGAAAATTCAGCCTCTTGCTCCAAAAAATTTAGTTCTTGATAGAAGTAAATTTTCTTGTCTTGAGAAAATTTCTCTCTTGCTCCAAAAAATTAAATATAAAGATAGAAGTAAATTTTCATTAATATTTTTATTGATTAGCATGTCAAATGGAAAGATCAAATAATATTGAATCATTTTTTTTCATTCAATATGTATAATTGCACGCTAAAATAATATAAAATGGGTATCAAATATTCAAGAGAAAAATTTTCTCAAGGTGCGAAAATTTTTTTCTCAGCTGAAGTAAGTGGCGCTGCTTCCCTAAAGTATCTAAAAATCTTGATCAAATATAAAAATTTATTGTATCAAGTATTTATGATAATTTGAATTAAGAAAGAATTACTTCCACCAAGAATAGAATCTAAAGAAAAATTTTTACTTCGGCCAACACAACTTCGGTCTTCCTTCAGGCACGTGAAAATTTTCTTGAGCCAAGAATTTTGCTCTCCAGTCAAGAAATTTTTCTTTCTGTGTATGTTAAGTAACATAAAGTATTACATTATTAATCATTAAGGATGTTTACGAAAAAGTTTTTTTAACACTAATGATATTGATGTTTAATTAAAAAGTAAATTGAATATTTTAAGGAGTAATGTAAATCATCTGGTTGGGTGTAATATGTTTACATACACTTGGGTCTGTATGTGTGTAATATGATGATAATGATAATAATAATAAGAGAATCGTGAGAGCTTAAGGAGATTGTGTGTGACGTAAGCAGTATGCGCACGAATGCGCTCACACTAGGTCTTAACTCTCAAGACAACTAAAAGTTCTGCCCTCACAGTACAGTTAATTATTGGTACTTGGTAAGGGTCAGCAAAGGGTCACCCGTCGAACGTGGAGAAGCTGAGAAGCAGATGCAAGCCACGTGCACGCTTCCCCTCGTATATTTTACACAACACACATTAATATACATCACCACATATCGCATTCATAATAAACATTCGTGTATTATTATATTGTATCCACACATGTTACTCTTTCGCTGTGTTAACGGTAACGCACAGTACACCGCTTGACTTAAAGTCTCATGTTTTAATTAATCACTAAAAAATAACAAATCTTTGCTAATTAATGCTACCTGAAACTCCAGGTTTTAATTAAGGTAGTTGTCGTGGTTAAGGCAGACCGTCAGAAAATTTTAAATTTTTGTATACTTATTAAGGGCATGATGATATAATTACCCTAAAAATTTGAAGTCGATTGACCACCTATAACCCGAGATGAGTTCAATTAAAAATTGGATATTTAACATTGATTGCATACGCTCTCTGCAGTTCTGTACCAGTTTCTTAGTTATAAAAAAAAAACTAACTGTCAGGAACTTTCAAAAAACTGACAGTCTTTTAATGTATTTGTTGTGAGTTTAAAAAAAAATAAAAAAAAATTTTTGACCGTCTAATTATTTATAAATAACAGATTAAAGTTCAACAATTTATGAAAAAATATATATCTACGGAGTCGGACAGAAACAATTGTATGGGTTGCGTCTCCACGGGTACAGTCTTGCGTAAAAATTATGGATTACTTAGCTACAAGCTTATATACTTTTGCGGCGCGTATAATCTCTAATTTTTTGACAATATTGTACCATGACAACTACATTAATGTTTATAAAAACTCTTGATACTTCCCATGCTGTATTACAATAGTATAAGACCTAATTTATCTTTTTCAAAAAAATTTTCTCAGATAATATTAAAATTAAGAATGAAAAACAATTCCATGTATTATTAAAGTCGACTTTGTCTCGCGAAGCTCAACACTTCGTCCAAAGCTTGGAGAAGTTTGTCAACAATTAGCAAGTTAGCATTAATTCCCATTAATCCAATCCTGAATATTTTTCCAGAAGTCGGTCAGAGTCCTCCAGTGATCTCAATATTCCATCTGCCAATTTAGAAATAAATTAACTTTAGAATTACAATTCTTTTTGCAGCGCGTATAATCTCTAATTTTTTGACAATATTGTACCTCAAAGTAGTTCAAAAATTTATCTAGTCTAAATAAATCTAAATAAATTTGAAGTTTTTATTTCAAGTCTGGGTAAGAAATAAGAAACTGATAAGAATCTTTTTTTAAGTTAAATTTATCACAAAAAAAATCTTGTCATATTTTTTTATTTAATATTTACTCAGGAATTTAAAACTTTTACAAATTATAATTTATTAGACATATTTTTTTTTTCTAATTTATTATAAATTCTTATGATTAGAAAATTAAATACTGCTTAGTGTAACACACTATTAGAGTTTAAAACTTTCTCACCAAAGACCAGTGATTTACGGTGTACTCTAGAATTACTAGAAAGTAAATTTAAAATCTATTAAATACCAATTTATTATTATAATTTCCATTTATTAATTTTAAATAACAGGAAGAGTAATAATTAATCAATTTTATTGGCTATTTTTTCAACGGATTCAAGAATTCTTATCATAATAATACGATGTTCTTCGTCGCGCCTTTTGGTGTAAACAATGAATTCATTTAATTTTCTTATCAGCTCACTGCTGTGATTTTCATTGACATTTAACATCGTCGAGGTGGAAGTTGGGGGGTATGTTTGCACCAAGGTTTTGCGGAGTCTTCTGAGCCTGCTAGAATCTCTGTCGAGAGACTGGCTTGCCCTCTTGACATGATTCACTGTCGTCCGGATAATATGCAGCTGCTGGCGTTGCGGCTGCTGCTGCTGTTGAGGAACCCGAGAACGATTTTCCGTGGTAGTTCGCCTGAGCTTCGTTGCGTCTCTGACATTGACTAACGGAGTCATTTGAATTTTTGTTTTTACTCCATATGTATTGGCACGGAGGTTTAATGGCGCTTGAGCCAGTGGTACTTGACTTGTGTCAAGTGCCGGAGACTCTTTTATACGTTTCCGAGATGAAATTGTTACGTCCGGTAAGTCTCCATTCATTCTTTTAGATCTAAAAATACAATTATTGCTTTCTTACAAGTTGAACTGAATATAACTAACTTATTTTTATTTTTTAGGTAAGGTGAAGTACCCAGTAGTTGAACAGGTTAAAGTAAAACGTATTTGACCCTACTTTTAATGAATAAAGATGTAATTATTAGTTCAAATTAGTGATTTTCATGAAAATATAAACAATTTTGAATTGATTGAAGCGCAAAATAACCTAGATAATTAAATATTTATATTTTGACAACTTTTTTAAGATAGGCTATGGAAGGAGTAATAGTTAAACAATTAATTCTAACAAGCCAAAGTAGTTGAACAGTCCGGGAACAGTAGTTGAACTAATAAAATATATGATAATAGGCACAGTAAAAATTTTCAACGTTTTATTGAAATATCTAAAAAATTATAACATATTATTGAATAATATTAAAAATAATACTATGGATATTCAATATGTTCATTTAAAAATGAGAAATATTTGTATTTAATTTTTTAATTACGTTTTTTATGAATGACAAATCAAATTTTCAATTACAAATAAAAAAAACTCAATTCAAACGTTCAATAATTTTTAACGAAACTAATTTTTAGCTATAAGACTTATTTAATTTGCAGTAATTTATACAAATCACAATACTGATAACTAGTCTATAAACCTATTAGAGATTAGAGTTCTGTTAAAATTATACGGCCCAGCTTGTTCAAATTCTGGGTACCGCTTTGAAAATTTGGAGCTATAGTTAGACGCTAAATTTTAATATAACAATTCTAGTTTATGTCTTTGCGCAAAAAATATGTATTATTTAGAAAAGACTATTTCATTCGGTGGTACAATTTTTTTTACTAAAAATGATGACATTCGGTTTTTTTTTTTTTACTGATTGTTCGGTTTACGGTTTAGTACCTTTTTCATGAAAAAAATACCATCTATCAGCTATTCTTAACATGTCAACTTTTAAGTTAACAAAAGTATAATTGTTTTGATTTACAATTGAAAAAACTTACAGAAATCAATTACTGTATCATTGAATAATTATAACTTGTGCATATTACTCATAATAAAAATACGGATTTTGTATTACAATTCGACAAATCTGTTTAAGTACTAGTCCCATTTTTATAAGTGTTCAAGTACTGGGTACTTTACCTTATTTAAAAAAATAATTAATGCTACGATACAACCTTGTTGAACTTTTCGATGAACAAGGAGCTATTTCTTCTTCAGTCTGCTCATCGGAATTCACAGAGACATACAGAAATTGATGAGGATCAATTTGATTGTCATAAAGAATTTGCTGATTCTGATTAGATTGAGTAATTTTATTACAACTCGAAACTATTTCATCAATAGCGCTGTAGAATGGCCAAGATACGTCGTCCGCATTGTTCTTGTCCCCATGGACTGGATTCTTCAGTTCCTTTCAGACATAAACCACTTTAAATGACATATGTAGGGATTATGTGACCGATTAATTTATTGTTATGTGGGATTGACCAATTAGTGTGTTATGTTATTTAATTAGGCTAGATGACTTTTAATAATTCAGCTCGTTGCACACACATACACTTGTTAGTTGTCTTCAAAGAAATTATTCGCTCACTTTGTACTGCTGGAGTAAGTTTGACCATTTCTTCTTTAGTACTCGATAATGCACGTCAGCCATTATCGTCGGAAATTCGGCTTTCATTTGTCGTAAAATATGTCTGGAATTTATTAAAATTAATCACTCTTTTTTTTTTTGTCGAATATTTATTTTAGGTAATTATTTAAAAGTGAAGTCAACCCCATTTTGGGCAATAACTAGGTGAAAAATTAACATTTTCAAATTTTTTTATTCTGCTTGTTTTTACGGCGCATTTTTTCTTCAAAAGTTGGAAGAAATTTTGGGTCTCATGTTTTTGGATAAAATTTCTATTTTATCTTTTTTTGATATATTTTTTTTTTAAAAGTACATAAAAAAACAATTAAAAAAAACAAGTTGAATTTCATAATTATCTAAAAAGTTTATAAATTTTTTAGAAAATTCTAAAATTTGTTAAAATTGTGATAATCAACTTTTTTTTATATATTAAAAAAAAATATATCAATAAAATCAAATAGAAATTTCATTCAAAAAAATAAAAATTAAAATGATTGACCCCAGTTGTAAATATTTACCTTTTATAAAAAATATAAATTAAGTAAAAAAAAATGGGAAGAAATAAAAAATTTTTACTTACTCCCAGCCGGCTTGGGCCGAATATTTTCTTCCTGTAAATAATTTTCCATTTTCTTTTCTCAGTCGTATAAACTTCAGGGTCAAATTTTCCGTCCCTTAAACAATAAATCAAACCAATTAGGCCAAATAAACTCTTTACATCTTTTAAATATAAAAAAATCAATTAGATAAATAGAATAGAATAAAATAACAAACTGACATCTAAATTTCGCGTGATAAATGTGTGTCATATCCCGATAATATCTAAAAGAATTATCGAAACAATCTTCACAATAGTTATAATATTATAATTTAAATGCGTACTAAAAACTAGACCTCGTTTAAGTTCTCAAAGACGACAATAATAGCAAGATCAGACAAAGCTAGAGTAGGGATAAGTGACTTAGGTAATTGCGAAATTGTCTCGTAAACTGCATAGCAGTGGGGATAGTATTCTTGGGTACGCAAACTCATTGCTTTTATCTCATCTCTCAATGCAAGACTTTGAAGCAAGAGCCGTTAAATCACCAAGCTCTATCATCGCTTCAATAATTTATCATCATCCCAATTTAAGGTTCCCAAACTGCCTGCAATTGACTCATGTAAGTTGATATTTATTTTCTCTATCAGCAGTTGTCTTATCACTGCAAACATTAATAAAAAAAAAACTAAAAACTAACATAATAATAATGTTTCAGAGTTCCTTTGTTGATAAGAAGAAACCTGTGATCTTCCTACTATATACAGAAGAGCGCCACGAACTGGCGCCGTCTTTCGGTTGGCTCCAACACAAGACGAGTTTTTATTGCCACCACTATCTTCCTCAGGTCTATTAAATCCACCAGCTAATATCATCTCTCTCATTCATGCTATTGGATTATATCTATTCTAGTTTATTCTATTCTATTTCTTCCCTCTCTGTCTCTAAAAAAGATCTAGCAGGAATGCCGGATTATTTTGTCCTCGTTTAAATTCACTCCGTATAGTACATGGAGTATAAAACATATAGCAATGCCTCTTGCTCTCCAGTCCCTTCTTCAACATTTCCCTTTCCCGACTACCCTACCAAGCAGTATACGTAGAATCACCACATGATTCCCCTCTACTCCAAACGTTTGGTTTCCGTTCCGCTGTTTCTGTTCACGGGCTTTTTTAACCGCCCTCAGCCTCAGCAGTACGCGAAACGCTGATACCAGAGACCGCCGCAACTCTCTGCTCACCCGGAGAATTCAGAGTACACTCACTCACGCCCGCCATCATGCTGTTACGGTGTGTGGTTATCAAAAAATTTTTTACTCCAATTTTTTGGTGGTAATTTTTAAACAATCATCCGGTTAATTCATCAACCAGAACAATGTTGTCTTTTAAAAAAAATTATTTATTTTAAAAATTTATCATCCAACATTTTAATGTTAGATTTTATGTGCTACATGTGTGTAAATATTAACTAGTGCTAGTTCATGTTTAAAGTGTGGGTGTACGTGTGGATAATAGCATTCAGTTTTGAAGATCTCCCCTCAGTCCCGACCTGGGTATAAATCACGCAGGTGGATCGTAGGCCAGCCTCCTCGCGGAACCCCCGAGGAGGCTGACTACCCGGTGTTTATATAAAACTTTTCTTCGCTGAGACATGGAAGAAATGCACAATGGTGTTGTACTCATCAAGTGTAAGTTATAAAAATTAGTTTTGTTTTATTAAATTAATTGTTTGTTTTTATTGTTAAAATTGTTAATAATTTTATTTATAACAAGTAGAATAGTATTAATACACGAGTGAAGATTTTGTGTACGGTCCATTTAATATTCTGGCGAGTGTTTTAAACGTTTTGGAGCTGGTTTTCTAAGACAAGCTGCCCCAAGGGAGAAGATCAAGAAAGGGAGAGAAGATAAAGAAAGGAACTAAGTAAAGAGAGAATGACACCCATGGAGATTTCAACTAGACAGCGCGGCGTTGCCAGACCTTGGAGAGTACTCTTTACTTCGAAACTTCTTCAGCTTGGGTTTCTGTTTTGTTATATACTACATTGTGTTATTTATCTACTTTTCATTGTGGGTACTAACCGGTGCACTGGATGGAACTTGGAAAATTATTTTTGATAGATTTATTATGAATTTGGAAATTTTGAACTTTTCATTTTCTTCCATAATTTTGGAATTTTTATTACTTTAATTTGAATTTTTGAATTCTTTGGATGTTTGTTGAAATGGTTAATTAAATTTAATATTAATAAGAAGAAATGAAAATTTTTTATTGATAAAAAATATTTAAGTTTTTTATATTCTTTTAATCTTTGTTGATATTAATTAAATTTAATATTAATAAGAAGAAATTGAAATTTTTTGAAGATTTTTTAATGATAAAAAAATATTAAAATTTTTTACATGATAAAAAATATTAAAATTTTTTACATGATAAAAAATATTAAAATTTTTTACATGATAAAAAATATTAAAATTTTTTAATTCTTTAAATGTTTGTTGATATTGTTAATTAAATTTAATATTAATAAGAAGAAATTAAAATTTTTTGGCAATTTTTTAATGATAAAAAAAATTTTTAATTTTTAATTCTTTAAATGTTTGTTGATATTGTTAATTAAGTTTAATATTAATAAGAAGAAATTGAAATTTTTTGGAGATTTTTTAACGATAAAAATATATTTAAATTTTTTAAAAGGCGCGCAGTAGCCTATCGGATCCGGCCCTTGCTTACCAAAGCATTGGACCGTGTTCGAGTCCGGCGTACACCAATTAATATTTTCAATATTTAAGTGTATTATTCTGCTCAGCCCAAGAAATAAAAAACGAGTTCCAATCTCAAAAGTTTACCCCCTACCGTAGTCGCTCATGACCTTAGTAGTTTATGCGACTTTAAACAAATTAAGAAAAAAAAAAAAAAAAAAAATTTTTTTAAATGATAAAAAATATTAAAATTTTTTAATTCTTTTAATATTTGTTAATATTGTTAATTAAATTTTAATATTAATAAGAAAAAATAAAAATTTTTTAACGATAGAAAATATTAAAATTTTTTTGTTGAAAAAAAATAATGAAAAATTATCTATTTCTTCTGTAGTATTGAAATCAAATGTATGCTTTCTATTTAGAGTCAATACATGTTAGAATTTTTAATTAATTGAATTTTATTAGATAAAATATTACACTAAATATTACTGAAATTTTTAAAAAATTTAAGAGTTTAAAAACAATTGTAAAAAAAATATTTATAATAATTAGATGGATAAAAAAATTAACTTTATTTAAAAGTATAAAATTTGAACCAAAAAAATTATTTTAAAGAGTAAAACCATCTTTAATTAATTGAAAAAATTTTTGAAAATTTTTTTAATGAATCAAAGATGATCTAATATTTCACAATAATTTTCTTGGATTATTACTCATGAATAAAGTAAATTTTTTTATCAGTATATACCACAGAAAGTAATGATTAACATTTCAAACATAAAAATAGTTGCCAAAATAGAGTTAAAGAGATAAAAAACTAGATGATGGAATAAATTATAATAAATGAGTGTTCGGCGATTATTCGAGCGCGTATGTAATAATAAATCTCAACGGTTTGTGTATTAAATTCTTACTTAATATCTTACACTTCACCTTGTAGCTTCTCTTAACATAGAGTGTCTTTCACTTTGCGGCGACACGAAGACGATGACTAAGTCCGGTTCGGCGTTCAAGTGCCTTGTGTTCGCCGTTGTTAAGTCTAAATTAGGCTTTTGAAATAACCGCGTGAGTCCAAGACCAGATAATAAAAAAATATTGTTATTATTATTACTATTACCATAACTAAATGAAATAATATCCATTAAAGACAATAATGTTGTTTATGTTTTTATTTTTTAAACAGCAAACGTTTTAAAGTGCCAGCTGAATAGTGAATGTTATTTAATGGATATGGGGAATGACCCACCGATAGAGTAAAGAGAAATACATCCAACGTATGTATGTGCATGTGTGCATCAACGATCAACGTATATTTGTCCATTGAGTATTGAGTGTATGTACACATCAGAATAGACACACAAGCGTAAATTGACGCCTGGCCGGAAGTCGGTCACTACGAAGGACGTTATTGTGCCCGCATGATTAAACTCAAGCGACTAAACTCTAGCATACTCTTTCATTTGATAATGTGTGTATATGCATACAACGCTTACTCATATACTATCCTGTTGAATTTCTCAGCATCAACAACTAATGTACGCCAAAATGAGAACGTTTACTCACGCTGTTACATTCAAACAATTTAATTTTATTGTGTACCTTTTTAAACTCAATATGTTATACATAGCTTATACTTCATAACATTTTTACTCTGTTTATTTTATAGTACACAGAAAAAAAAGGTTCACTTGAGCCAAGAAAATATTTTTCTTCTTAATTATTTTCTTGAGAAAAAAAAATTTTTTTTTGACACAAGAAATTTCACTTATTCCAACAAAATTAATTCTCTTGCTTTAAGAAATACGTATCTTGATCCAAGAAAATTTATTTAAGTCAAGAAAATCTTGTTTTGAGAAAATTCAGCCTCTTGCTCCAAAAAATTTAGTTCTTGATAGAAGTAAATTTTCTTGTCTTGAGAAAATTTCTCTCTTGCTCCAAAAAATTAAACATAAAGATAGAAGTAAATTTTCATTAATATTTTTATTGATTAACATGTCAAATGGGAAAATCAAATAATATTGAATCATTTTTTTTTTTCATTCAATATGTATAATTGCACGCTAAAATTATATAAAATGAGTATCAAATATTCAAGAGAAAAATTTTCTCAAGGTGAGAAAATTTTTTTCTCAGCTGAAGTAGGTGGCGCTGCTTCTCTAAAGTATCTAAAAATCTTGATGAATTATAAAAATTTATTGTATAAAGTATTTATAGTAATTTGAATTAAGAAAAAATGACTTCCACCAAGAATAGAATTTCAAGAAAAATTTTTCCTTCGGCCAACACCACTTCGGTCCTTCTTCAGGCACCCGAAAATTTTCTTGAGCCAAGAATTTTGTTCTCCAGTCAAGAAATTTTTCTTTCTGTGTAGTTTTTGTTATAATTTTAAAAAAATTTTCTCATTATTGTTAAAAAAATTTTTTATTAATTTAAGTTTTTATTATTTTAAAATTGATTCAAAGTTTCAAAAAATATTAGATTATAATATTAATTTAAAGATTTTATTATAATCTTTAAAAATTTAGGTAATTATTTACAAGTGGAGTCAACCCCATTTTTGGGCATAACTAGATAAAAAATTATCATTTAAAAATTTTTTTTGATTCTGCTTGTTTTTACGGCGCATTTATGAAAAAAAATGTCGTGAAAGAAAAAAATAAAGATTTCGATAGCTTTTTTGCCTTCAAAAGTTGAAAAAAATTTTAGCTCATGTTTTTGGATAAAATTTCTATTTTATCTTTTTTTGATATATTTTTTTTTTTTGAAAAGTACATAAAAAATGAACAATTAGAAAAAAAAATTAGTAAAATTTGTTAAAATTTTGATGTCGTGAAAGAAAAAAATAAAGATTTCGATAGCTTTTTTGCCTTCAAAAGTTGGAAAAAATTTTGGCTCTTATGTTTTTGGATAAAATTTCTATTTTATCTTTTTTTGATATATTTTTTTTTTTTGAAAAGTACATAAAAAATGAACAATTAGAAAAAAAAATTAGTAAAATTTGTTAAAATTTTGATAATCAACTTTTTTTTTTAATTGTTCATTTTTTTATGTGTTTTTAAGAAAAAAATATATCAATAAAATCAAATAGAAATTTTGTTCCAAAAGATGACAATTAAAATCGTTGACCTCACTTGTAAATATTTACCAAATTGTTTTAATTTTTGTAAAAAAATTTTTAATTAGATATAATAATTGATTTTAGTTTTTCAAATTTTAAAATTGATTTTAAATTTTTAAAATGTTAAAAAATATTTTTAATTGTGAAATTACGAATTTAATAGAAGATGATAATATCAAAAATAAATTATAATAACAATTATGATTCTTAAATTTATTATTATAATTTTTATAATATTCATTGATATTATAATTTTTATAAAATCAAACCTAGTTTTTCGCCCACATGAAAAATATGAAAGTAAACTCTCTTTAGCAAAGTAAAAAAATATTTACATAACCATATGTTAATTTATATTAAAACTAGAATCAATAAATCACAGTATTAAATATAATTTTCTCGGCTGCTGTTATTGCCGTTCAATAAAATGTAATAATATTTATTAATAGTACAATGAAAATGAAATTGTAATAGATTTGTGTAGGAATTTATTCTCTATGTGTGTGTGTGTGTACAAATGTATATTGATATTGTTGATACTGGCGAAGAAAAATCCCAGGAAAACAGTCCAATGTTCCTCCCTCGAGGTTCAGTAGCTTGGAATACAATTGTATACATATTGCGTGACATAAATCGAGTCACCCGCCTGTTGCGGCACTATATTCATAATACCGGTCTCCCTGATCGCAACCTGCCCATATGAGTATTTTATAATACGGTACACAATATAATCCAGCTATGTATTTATATATTATATTATTATATTATATACACATTTATATTAATGCCATTGTATCAGGGAGTAGCTGACTAAGTTACGTTCCCGGAAACCCATAGAGTTTCTTCATCAAACTTGACAGTTAGTTGATTGTTTGGTCTTTTGTCTATTATTACTTTGATTTAATTTAAATTGTGTCGTTTTCAATTCAGGTTACCCATTTTTTTGACACTTGGTATGTATTTCTTCTTTCACCCTCCAGTGACCACTTGAAATTTTCCTGTCAATTATATTTTGAATAAATTAAAAACAACTTAATCATCATGATAATTTAGTAATAATTTACAATCGCTGCACTGATAGAAAGATTTGTTAATATATATAATAAGCATTGTTAACTGTTAACAAATATTTATTTGAAATAAAAAGCAAAAATAGCAAATTTTTGACACTTTTAATAACTTTATAGTTGGAATATATGATAATAATTAAATTCACTGAATAAATTAAAGCTTTTAATATTTAAAAATATAAAAAACAATTATGAGCTATGATAGAATTAGATATTTTACAATAAACGTTATTATAATCTATGTTATTAAGAAAATAAGAAAAATTTTGTGTCCAGGATAGTCATATGATAAAATCGGTTTTTTTTTTTTTTGCGAAATTTAGTGTAATTACAAAGGTCTTGACTTGAATTTGTGCCTTTTCAAGGTTTCATATTCTCAATAATAGTCAATTTATTATGATAAGTACTTAGGCTGAATTCGAAAATTCTCTATCTCTAGATACATAATTGAGAAATTACTATGTATCTCGTAAACTATTGACATTTTTAAAGATATAAGCTCATTCTGATGTTACACTCATCAAGACCTTTCATTTAAGTACCCACATCAGTAAAATGCATGTGGGTACTTAAAGAAAGTCTCTTGATGAGTGTAATATCAGGATGAGTTTGTATCCATAAAAATATCAATATTTAAGAAAGTACAGTATAATTTAATATAATTGAGAAATTACCTTGTATCTTGTGAACTATTGACATTTTTAAAGATATAAGCTCATTCTGATGTTACACTCATCAAGACCTTTCATTTAAGTACCCACATCAGTTTTTCATATATTTATATATATTATATATATGTATATATGAAAAATATATGAAAATGCATGTGGGTACTCAAATGAAAGCTCTTGATGAGTGTAACATCGAGATGAGCTTATATCTTCAAAATCGTCAATAGTGAAGAAAATAAAGTGCAATTTAATATAATTAAGAAATTACCTTGTATCTCGTAAACTATTGATATTTTCAAAGATATAAGCTCATCCCGGCATTACACTCATCGAGACCTTTCAGTTGAGTACCCACATCAATTTTTCATATATTTATATATATTATATATATATGTATATATGAAAAATATATCAAAATGCATGTGTGTACTCAAATGAAAGCTCTTGATGAATGTAACATCAGGATGAGCTTATATCTTCAAAATCATCAATAGTTAAGAAAGTACAGTGTAATCTAAGAAAAGTCATTATTTAATCCATCAAAATTTTATTTATTTATAATTCACAAGTCACAGCAGTCACATAGTGACTGCAAGGTTGCTAGTGTAATATAATTAATGCAATCAATTTATAAAAGTGATTTTTGTTTATAAGCAATCTTCATTTCATATGACATTGCAAGCGAATCAAATTCACTCAACAAAATATTAACTGTTAAAAAATATTTGTCAACTATTAATAAATACTCATTAACTTTTAATAAATATATTTTCCTCCCAAATAAATATTTATTGAATGTTAAAAAATATTTAATAAATTAATTGTCTTCAAATAAGTTAAATTATTAATAGTTAATAAATCCTTCTATCAGTGTGCTGAGAGGAATGACCCACCTGAAACAGTAAACTAAAACACAATGAAGAAATTAGAAAAGTTAAAAAGTTTCAACTAAGAAGAAACGACAAGTTAATAATTCAGTGCATACTCCCACGTGAAAATCCAATTGTTCATGTAGGCCAGTGTTGATATAATATTATTTTTTCATCCACCACGTCAAGAGGACCGTAATGGAACAAATATTTATTTTATTTAAATATTTATATTAATATTAATATTGATGTAAAAAAAAATCAACACACTTACTTATTATTAACATCAGCAATATATTATAGAGTGAAGCGGGTACACGGAGTGAGTTTGGAGTATTAGTTGGTACACCAAGAGAGTAAAGGACAATGGCATCTCAACATCATGAACAACAGCACATGTATTTGTAACACGGCAACGTAGTTGTTAAACTTGTGGTTTGTATTCTACATGCGTACCGTACACGACTCGTGATATGAGTGTAATAATAATAACAACAATAATAATAAGAATAATAAAAAAATACATACGTACTCACTAGAGAGGGAGTAAAAGCAAGAGAGTATTGGTACCTACTCTTATTATTATTATTATTATTATTATATACGCTGGTGGCAATGTGACGGAGAATGGCAAAGCCAAGTCGGAGAATGGGAGATGCAACGCTCGAGGAGGTGGAATCCGGTAGAATTGGCTCCCCCACATGCATTATTTGCGGTTGCTTCGGAGTTGACGAGAAATAATTTAACTGAGTAAGTACGACAACCACCACGACAGCGTCCAGGGGACCAACATCCACCAGCAACTGATAGTGTTCCTCCCTCCTGATATTTCTTCTTCTGTGTTTACAAATCATGATTACGTGATTTATTAACGAGAGTTTTGGTCAAGTAATTAATTTAATTTAGTAAGTGTTGGATTATTATTTTAATAATAATTGTTTCTTTGTTTCAATTTATAGACTTGGAGTTTTTTATAATAAAAATCCAGTGGTGGTTTTAAAAGTGAAGAAATACTTTAGTTGTTTGTGATCCAGTTTTATGGAGAGCTTGAGAGCCTGCACTAAAAAAAAAATTAACTTGATTTAAAAGAAAAATTCTTGAACCAAGAATACACTGATAAAAGGATTTATTTGTATTAATTTAAAAAATATTTGTTAATAGTTAAATTATTTATTAGAGACCACTTTTTAGTATTAAATAAATATTTCTTAGTATTTAAAATTATTTGTTTGTATTTAATAAATCTAATATTCATTTATTAAATATTAATAAATCTTTTTGAATATTAAGAAATATTTTTTAAGGAATAAAAAGTGATCTCTAATAAATAATTTGTTAAATATTAACAAATATTTTTAACTATAAAAACAAATTCTTTTATCATATAAAGTAAAATTTCTTTAAATCAAGAAAAATTTTCTTAAATCAAGAATATTAAGTTCTTCAAAATTATATACTTGATTTAAGAACTTTTTTCTGTGCACTGATAGAAAGATTTGTTTATAGTTAAAAATATTTGTTAATATTTAACAAATCATTTTTTAATATTAAACAAATATTTCTTAGTATTTAAAATGATTTGTTTGTATTTAATAAATCTAATATTAATAAATTTTTTTAAATACTAAAAAATATTTGTTAAGGACTAAAAAGTGGTCTCTAATAAATGTTAAATGTTAAATATTAACAAATATTTTTAACTATAAACAAATTCTTTTATCATATAAAGTAAAATTTCTTTAAATCAAGAAAAATTTTCTTAAATCAAGAATATTAAGTTCTTCAAAATTATATGATTGAAGAAAATTTTTTTTTTCTATGTGGTACATTGGATAAAATAATATTTATTGGAATATAATCAAGAGTGTTGTATTTGTAGCGATGCGAACCGATAATATTGCTGCTGGGTCTCGGTGCTGCACCCAAGTCGAGGCCAAGTTGGTTGGAATCTTTCTGGGGAGATGGAATGGAGGTGGCGGCCTCCGTAAAGCCCACGATAACTGACCGTACGACTGTAAGTCGAGACGGAAATCGAACCAGAGCATGATTTGACAAATCTATGAGTGCAAATAAGAAGATCAGAAAGAAGAAATATAAATTTAAGAAGAAGAAGAAGATATTAATTTAACTGAAATTAGTTGAACCAATAAACAAACACAGAGTTATTTAATTAAAACAATAAAGTGTGTGTAGTTAGCAGTGAAACGGACATCACTCTCTTCCGTTGGTGGTGTCAACGAAGCTCAATTGCTGGACCCTGTATCCGTACGTTAATTCCCACACTAGAACCAATTGCCTTGTAGTAATATTAATATATAATCTAATATCGCTTTTTTATCCATTTTTACGAGGCTCGTGTCACATTTTAGAGAAGAGCTAGCTGGTGAGTGAAGCTGTAAAGACTGAAGAGTCTAATTAAAATAGTTTAACTACTCAAATAATATCACACGAAGGATTTGAAGTTTTATAAGGAAGATAAGTCAGCGCAATAGATGGAATATATTTCTTATAAATAGATACTTCCGTCATTGAATAGATGACTACGCACTGCAGAGCAGTTAGCACGCGTGGTTGCTCGGTCATATCGTCATATTGCTTATGGACTTTGTATATATAATGATTGTATTGGTATACATTGCATTATATACTCGGTAGCATTGCATGTGAATAATAATATGCTCCAACGCTCGCCATGTTTTTGTTCGATCAGTTACCGAGATATTAAACAGACATAACATTATAAATATGTATTAGTATAGGTGTACGCTTATTATAAAGCTAGAGCAGAAAGCAACAAGTTTATTAAGCTGGCTAAAGACCTGTGTGCTTAGATATGTCTACACACATCTAAATGATATTAATATCCTTGGTTTGTTTCATTAATTTATTATGCTAATCGCTACAGCTGACACGATTCACACAACTTGTCCTTTCAGTCGCTATTAATTTTCTCTTAAACAATGCCCTTTGATTCGTTGCGCAACTACTGGAGGAACTTTGGAACTTTTTTTGTAGTAATAGAACATTTCGACAGGTGGCGCTGATCAAAAATAGAATAAAATATTTATTTTGACGTTCTAATTAGCAAATTGACTAACTCCATTTTAGAGAATTTTCTATTCAAAATTTATTATCACTTTAAAAAACTATTTAATATCATTCTTATCTAATAGAGATATAATATTTAGGTTTGAATCATTTAAATAATTTATAATTCGATTTTGGCTACATCAAAATGTTAAAAAATCATCCTCTAAAAAATAAGGAGTTAGACAAATTGCTAATTAGACCATCGATTTAGCTTTTAGAAATAATTTAATTTTAAATTGACAATTTATAACATTTTTGAAGTTATACTTCTTGAATGAGAGTGAAATTTACGCATTATGTTCCAAAAAAGAAACATGATGAAGTTGGCCATTAAATATAATTAAAAATATTGATTTCTTTTACTGACTAAGTTAACTCATATACAGGCTAGTAGTAAAGTATCTAACAGAACATTGTTATTTTCAAATTTGATAGAATATCATTTAATATGAAATACAGTAAAAAATCAACACAATTTCTGTGTTAAAATTCAACACTCTTTATGTTGTTTTAACACAAAGCTTGTGTCATTTTAACACAAAAGTATGTCACACTAATTTTGTGTTAATCGTATTTAATATAACATTTTTTACTATGAATATATTATTCATATTAATAATCAATTCTAAAAAATGGTCAATTTAATATTTTAGTTTTAATTTAACTTGGTAATAATTTCTTTTTAATAAATATTTTATCAAAAATTTATAATAATAATTTCATGAATTAAAATATTTAAACTAAATTATAAATATTGATTATTTATTGCTTTAAATAGTTACATAACTTATTTCTGGCAAGGGGGATCATAATCATGGGGATATAATCATTTTGTTTATAGAATATAGTTATTATAAGTTTAAATAATAAATAATAAAATATTTTATAAGAAACATTTATTTTAAATAAATAATTAAATCATTTTATAATTATCAATTGTAAACTATTGAAGTTGACAGACATAAAAAATTTTTCTAGAATTTTATAGCAATTAAAAAATTCCACATGTGAAAATTAATAAAAATTACAAGTGAAAATTTTTAAAAGCATTTTTTTGCTATAAAAATTTTAAAAATTGTCAACTTCAGTATCGTACTATTGATACTTTGCAACTCCAAATTTAGTTGATTTAGAAAAATCTTAAATAATGTTGAATTAAATTCATATAATAATCAATAATTTTATATTTATACAGTATAGGTGTATTTTTACTACAATAAAACCTTTTAGATTGTTTTTAACATTTTTCTTTGATCATTTTTGCATTTTTTTTCTTATGCTAAAGAAGTATAATAATAAAGTTAGCCGACATTTTTGATTTTTTTTATTTTCCTTAATTTATTAACTTATAACTAAAAAATATTTTTAAAAAATTGCACTTATAGTCTTTGAAGTTTTTAACAAATGAAAAAAATTTTTTTTTATTTTTTTGTGATAATTCTTTAATAAAAAAAATCACAAAAATTTTTAGATGTTGGCTAACTTTATTTTCATCAAAGAAGTCTAACTTATGACGCGTGTACATGAGCACACACACCATTTTTAATTTATTTTATTTTTTTTTTTTTTAGATGAGCCACGATCGAGGTGTCAATCTTGGGACGACGTAGGAGCTCCACCCAACAGGATGGAGACCGTTCTAAAGCGGCAGTCCCAGCAACAACAGCACCAACCGCTCGACTCGACGAGCTCAAATATCTCCGCGCATTCCGTTAAGAGTGAGGACTCCTGGTGCTCTGCGTCAGACCACGAGCATTCCTCGGACGACGACGAAAGTGAAAAGAGTAACATCAGCATAAAGAGCAACTGCCAGCTGAGAAACACTCTGCACAAAGCAAAGACCTTGTGCGACAAATGGAGATCACAGAACATAAGACTGAGCTCAGGAAGCAGTGGAGCTGGAGCTCCCGTTGGAGCCACCACGGAACCTTTGGACCCTACTGCGGGACAAGGACGACTGTCCAGGTGGTTCAGTATCCGTCGTGGATCAACTCATCAGTATGACGTAGACTCTTCGTCCTCGGACACATCTGCAGTGTCAATATGCAGTCCAATAAAACAGCAGCAGTCATCAACGCCGCTGCACTCATCACCGGTGACACCAATAGCATCACCAATGTCCCGTCTAGTCGAGGTGAAATAATTTATTCATTCTATTGTGTTTGTTTTGTTTTATTTATTTACGAGCTTAATTATTCTCAACGAGTATTGCGTTGATGCGCAATTAGATAATTTGAATGCAAGGTTCTATTTGTTTATTTTTTATTTTTTTTTTTTACATGAATTAAGGTAAAGTACCTAGTAGTTGAACAGGTTTTAAAGTAAGGATATAGTTATTAGTTCAAATTAGTAATTTTCGTGAAAATATAGACAATTTTGGATTGAAGCGCAAAATAACGCAGATAATTTAATATTTATATTTTGACATCGATTTTAAGATAAAATATGAAAGGAGTAGAAGTTGAACAGTCAATTTTGATAAGCCGCAGTAGTTGAACACTCCGAGAGCAGTAGTTGAACTAATAAAATATATGGCAATAGGCGCAGCAAAAATTCTTAAAGTTTTATTGAAATATCAAAAGAATTATAACATATTATTGATTAATATTAAAAATAATCCTATGAATATTTAATATGTTTATTTAAAAATGAAAAATATTTTAATTTAATTTTTTAATTACATTTTTTATGAATGACAAAGTAAATTTTCAATTATAAATAAAAAAAAGACCATTCGGCAGTCGAAATGGAAGTAGATTTCATCATAAATAGAAAAAAAATAATGGATTTCTAGTAAACCGGCGATTAAAACCTTATTTCACCCTAACTCGTTATTTGTTTACATACTGCTGGTGTACAGTAAAGAAAAAAAAAAAAAAACAAAAAAAAACGAGTGCAATAGCAAATTTCATAATTGGCATAGCGGAATAGGACATAATTTTGGGACTACACATATGATATGTCACTCAAATTGAAGCTTATTTAAAGAGCTTTCAGATGGAATTTACAGAAATTCGATAAATTATCCCATTCAAAAGTTATTGAAGGACGAAAATGGAGAAATGTTAATTTTTATGATTTTGAAAATTTTGAAATCATGGCATTTCTAAATTACTTGACCGATTAAGCTCATCTTCGAACTTGACCTCGGTATCTATCTGTAGAATAAGTATGTTGAGTTTGATAAAGATCCATTGTAAATTGGCGACGCTATCGTGGTGACAAGCGGCGTTATATCGTATATATACATACATATATAAACTTTTGAACCATATGTATTTTCTGACTCAGCTCGTCGAGTTATGTCGGAATATAACAAAATTTTTCAAAAGTTTTGTCATGAGGACCTAGTAGTTGAACAGGTTTCGAAGTAAAACGTATTCGACCCTACTTTTGATGAATAAAGATGTAATTATTAGTTCAAATTAGTGATTTTCATGAAAATATAAACAATTTTGAATTAATTGAAGCGCAAAATAACAAAGATAATTGAATATTTATATTTTGACATCGTTTATAAGATAGACTGTGAAAGGAGTAGTAGTTGAACAGTCAATTTTGATAAGCTGCAGTAGTTGAACACTCCGGGAGCAGTAGTTGAACTAATAAAATATATGGCAATAGACACAGCAAAAATTTTCAACGTTTTATTGAAATATCAAAAGTATTATAACATATAATTGATTAATATTAAAAATATTACTATGAATATTTAATATGTTCATTTAAGAATGATAAATATTTGTATTTAATTTTTTAATTACATTTTTTATGAATGGCAAAGCAAATTTTCAATTATAAATAAAAGAAACTCAGTTCAAAACATTCAATAATTTTCAACTACATTAATTGGACTCTGTTATGCAATAGTGTGTTAACTATACATAGGATTCCCATAGCACTTAACACATTAATGCATAACAGTGTCCAATTTATGGCTATAAAACTTATTTAATTTGGAGCAATTAAATCAAATCACAATGGTGATCACTAGTCTATATACCTATTAAGGTAAAGTACTCAGTAGTTGAACAGGTTTCAAAGTTAAACCTATTTGACCCTACATTTAATGTATAAAGATTTAATTATTAGTTCAAATTAGTGATTTTCATGAAAATATAAACAATTTTGAATTAATTGAAGCGCAAAATAACAAAGATAATTGAATATTTATATTTCGACTACGTTTTTATGATAGACTTTGAAAGGCGTCGTAGTTGAATAGTCAATTCTGATAAGCCGCAGTAGTTGAACACTCCGGGAGCAGTAGTTGAACTAATAAAATATATGGCAATAGGCACAGCAAAAATTTTCAACGTTTTATTGAAATATCAAAATAATAATTATATCAAATAATAATTAAATAATTATAGCATATTATTGATTAATATTAAAAATAATATTGTGAATATTTAATATGTTCATTTAAAAATGAGAAATATTTGTATTTAATTTTTCAATTACATTTTTTATGAATGACAAAGCAAATTTTCAATGATAAATAAAAAAAACTCAATTCAAAACGTTCAATAATTTTTAACTACACTAATTTTTACTTATAAATATTATTCAATTTGCAGTAATTAATACAAATCACAATGCTGATAACTAGTCTATAAACCTATTAGAGATTAGAGTGTTGTTAAAATTATACGGCCCCAGCTTGTTCAAGTTCTGGGTACCGCTTTGAAAATTTGGAGATATAGTTAGACGCTAAAATTTAATATAAAAATTATAGTTTATGTCTTTGCAAAAAATATGTATTATTTAGAAAAGACTATATCATTGGGTGGTACAATTTTTTTTTAACTTAAAATGATGATATACCGTTTTTTTACTGATTGTTCAGTTTACGGTTTAGTAGCTTTTTCATGAAAAAAATAGCATCTATCGGCTATTCTCGACATGTCAACTTTTAATTTAACAAAAATATAATTGTTTTGATTTACAATTGAAAAAACTTACAGAAATCAATTGCTGTATCATTGAATAATTATAACATGCGGATTTTACTCATAATAAATATACGGATTTTGTATTACAATTCGAAAAGTCTGTTCAAGTACTGGATGCTTAACTTTCTTTTATTTTATTTCATTGAATTGTTAATTTCAGGTTGAGGAAGAGAATTATATGACGGGCAATAACGCAGTAACGGCCTCGGCGGCAGCTGCTGCAATAATGCAATTTCAATGCATGCACCACCGACGTCAGGCACCACCGACATTACCCCCAGCTCCACCAAATTTAACACCTCAGCAGCTGAAGCGACGTCATATTGTCGCGGCTATTGTACACTCGGAAAATAGCTACGTCGCGACGCTGCAGAGGCTCGTTAATGATTACAAAAAACCTCTTGAAGAGTCGACTCCGCCGGTTTTGAGTCAAAGCAAAATTGCTACGCTATTTCACCGCCTACCTGAGATACTCCAGTGTCACACGCTCTTTCGAATAGCTCTCGCTGAGTGTGTTCGCTCGTGGGACAAAGATGAGAAGCTCGGTGACGTGTTTGTTGCGAGTTTCAGCAAAGCTATTGTTCTTGACATCTACAGCGGGTTCATTAATAATTTTTCCGTGGCTATGGATCTCGCTAAGCAGGAATCTAAACGCAAGACTGCGCTTGCTGATTTTTTTAAGGTAAAATATCACTTTAAGATATTTCTTTTATTAATTAAAAATACTAGTCACTATGTAACTGCCTTGACTTGTGAACTATAAATAAATAAAATTTTGCTTTATTAAATAATGAATTTTGTTAAATTGCACAGTACTTTCTTGAATGTTGACGTTTTTTAAGATATAAGCTCATCCCGATGTTACACTCATCAAGAGCTTTCATTTGAGTACCCACATGCATTTTCATATATTTTTCATATATACATATATATAAATATATGAAAAATTGATGTGGGTACTCAAATGAAAGCTATCGATGAGTGTTATGTCGCAGTGAGTTTATATCTTTAAAAATGTCATTAGTTCACGAGATACAAGGTCATTTCTTAATTATTTATAGAGAGACAGAGCATTTTTAAATGTAGCCTAAATACTTATCATAAATTTACTATTGGTGAGAATAATATGAAACCTTGAAAAGACACAAATTCAAGTCAAGACCTCTGCAATGACACTAAAAAAAACCGATTTTGTCATATGACTATCCTGGAGACAAAATTTTTCTTATTCTCTTAATAATATAGATAATAATGGTGATAAATTTTTTTTAAGTTATTATTATTAAAATTACGTAAAAATTGATTTAATAATTATTACTAGCAACTTTGCAGTCACTACGTGGCTTGTGAACTATGAATAAATAAAATTTTACTTTATTAAATAATGGCTTTTGTCAAATTGCACTGTACTTACTTAAATATTGACGTTTTTAAAAATATAAGCTCATTCCGATGTTACACTCATCGAGACCTGTCATTTGAGTACCCACATGCATTATCATATATTTTTCATGTATACATATATATAATATATATATAAATATAAAAAAATTGATGTGGGTACTTAAATGAAAGGTCTTGACGAGTGTAACATCGAAATGAGCTTATATCTTTAAAAATATCAATAGTTCACAAGATACAAGGTCATTTCTCAATTATATTAAATTGCACTGTACTTTCTTAATTATTGACGTTTTTAAAGATATAAGTTCATCCTGATGTTACACTCGTCGAGACCTTTTATTTGAGTACCCACATGCATTTTTCATATATTTTTCATATATACATATATATATATATATAATATATATAAATATATGAAAAATTGATGTGGGTACTCAAATGAAAGGTCTCGATGAGTGTAATGTCGTGGTGAGCTTATATCTTTAAAGATGTCAATAGTTCACAAGATACTAGGTCATTTCTTAATTATGTATCTAGAGACAGCATTTTTAAATGCAGCCTATATATTTATCATCATAAATTGACTATTGGTAAGAATGGTATAAAACCTTGAAAAGGCACAAAGTCAAGTCGAGACCTTTGCAATTACACTAAATTTCACTAAAAAAAAATCGATTTTATCATATGACTATCCTAAAGACAAAAAGTTTTCTTATTCTCTCAATAATATATATGAGGAGCTAAGTTTCAAAAGAGTATCTTTTTATTTTTGATTAATTGAGACAAAAAACTGGTTATCTTCAATTATAATTTTTATATTGAACTTTTTTTAATTTAGCTATAAAGTGCTATCGGTTATGAAGCTGCAATTCGATTTTCATTTATAAATCTTAATAATTCTCGAAGTAATTAATATTTAAAAGTTCAGAAAACTGGTCTTTTAAAATATGAAAAAATACCCTTTTGAAAATCAGCTCCTCATATTATAAATATTTATCTTAATGAAAATATGATCAAGATTTATATTTATAAGACTTAATAATGAAAATAATATGACAAAGTAATTTAGATGATTATGATGTGTTAAATAATACTTTAGTCACGCTTGTTATGCAATATTAATTTTTCTGCAGTATACATTTACATAAATATAGTTTGTTGGGACAAATAATAGGGCTTAAAATTCTCTATACATTTATGTAAAACAAATTTTTATTATTTAACAGGTGAAGCAAATTAGTGCCCACGATCGGTTGTCCTTTTTCGGTCTAATGGTGAAGCCAGTCCAGAGGTTTCCACAATTTATATTGTTTCTCCAGGTATGTGTAAATAATCGTTAATAATTACTAAATAAATTAAAGCTCATAAATTTATAATTTTAATTTACCTAATTTTGTGTCTTGGCAAGGATTTACTGAAGCACACGCCCCAAGGACACCACGACAGAATGTCTCTGCAGTTGGCGTTGACTCAACTGGAGAGTTTAGCGGAAATGTTAAATGAACGAAAACGTGAGGCGGAACAATTCCAAGCTTTCAAAGAAATGCTACGTCACGTATCCGGTAAATTAGCTCATCGACCGCTTTCATCCTCATCGAGGTATCTTATAAGAGAGGACAATGTTACGCAATTGGAATTCAATCAGAATGGGATGATAACAAAATCCAAGAGACGCAGATTATTATTGTTAAATGATTTAGTGGTTTGCGTCTCAGTGGCTCCAAGGTCTATCGAGGACTTCTCGAGTAGCGAGAGGCTCACGCTTAAGTGGACGTATCCGGTGTCAGACATTGAGGTAAATCATACAATTTTTTTTATTTTATATTATTATAATAAATAATAAATGCTTACTTATATTTAGGAAAATAGTGTTTTCTGTACCGTGAGAAATTAGCACGTGCGACTATTCTCGTCTTTTCTTTTCTTTCATTGTTTGTTTTTATTGTTTAGATACAAGACACCAGTACCTCGCCAACATTGAGCCGTTTACTCACAGCCGGATTGAATAAAGGCGGCAGCTTGAAGTCGGAGAAAAATTTCAGCATCAATGAGACCAGTAGTCAAGCGGGTGCCGATAGCCTTTGCGCGGAGATGAACGATCTTATGCATGACTATGAGGTCATGTCGAGGATAAGTGATTTAGTGACGCAACTCAAAGGAACCTATGAGGTAGTTAACCCTGTGCTCTTTTATTGATTCATTATTCATTCGAGTCTAGTTTAGATAACTTTATTCTTTATTTATTCTAATTGTTGGCATACAACATTATAAGAAATTTAAATAACTTTCAAGTATACTTAGGAAGTAAATTATCTATCAGCGTATAAGGAACCTCGTATGTCGAAAAATGTTAGGTAAATATTTACAAGCGGGGTCAAACATTTTTATTTTCATTTTTTTGAACGAAATTTCTATTTGATTTTATTGATATTTGACATTTGAAAAATACATAAAAAAATGAACAATTTAAAAAAAAAAGTTGATTCTGATATTCAACTTTTTTTTTTTTTTTTTTTTAATTTTTTTACATGGAAAATATAAGATGACACTGGATATCGTCCCAGATTACACTCAGTGATATTTGTGGTGAAAAAATTTCAGATAGTAGCTAAAAAAAATCTAGATTATACTGTGTGATATCTGGATTATCCTCATTATAATGTGGATTATACTAGCTACTATCTGAATTTTTTTTCACTCCGTATAATCTGGGATGATATCCAGTGTCATTTTGTTCTTTCCGTGTATGTCCTTTTCAAAAAAAAATATATCAAAAACTTCAAAAAAAAATAAAATATAAATTTTATCCAAAAACATAAGAGCTAAAATTTTTTCCAACTTTTAAAGGCAAAAAAGCTATCAAAATCTTTATTTTTTTCTTTCACGAGATTTTTTATCGTAAATCCGCCATAAAAACAAGTAGAATCAAAAAAAAATTTGAAAATGTTAATTTTTCATCTAGTTAATGACCCAAAATGGTTTGACTTCACTTGTAAATAATTACCAAATGTTACTTTTCAGTAGAAAGAAAAAACATTGTTTTTTTTTTTTTTTTATTTTTATATATTTCAACATCTGATTTTTTTAAAGTAGTTGTCGTGGTTAAGGCATACCGTCAGAAAATTCTAAATTTTTGTCTACTTATTAAGGACATTATGATACAATTACCCTAAAAATTTAAAGGCGATTGACCACCTATAACCCGAGATGAAATTAATTAAAAATTGGATATTTAACATTGATTTCATAGGCTCTCTGCAGTTCTGTACCAGTTTCTTAGTTATAAAAAAAAACTAACTGTCAGAAACTTTCAAAAAACTGACAGTCTTTTAATGTATTTATTGTGAGTTTAAAAAAAAATCAAAAAATTTTTGACCTTCTAATTATTTATAAATAACGGATTAAAGTTCAACAATTTATGAAAAAGTATATATCTACGGAGTTGGACAGAAACAATTGTATGGGTTGCGTCTCCACGGGTACAGTCTTGCGTAAAAATTATGGATTACTTAGCTACAAGCTCATATACTTTTGCGACGCGTATAATCTCTAATTTTTTGACAATATTGTACCATGACAACTACCTTAATGTTTATAAAAACTCTTGATACTTCCCATGCTGTATTACAATAGTATAAGACCTAATTTATCTTCTTGAAAAAAATTTTCTCAGATAATATTAAAATTAAGAATGAAAAACAATTCCATGTATTATTAAAGCCGACTTTGTCTCGCGAAGCTCAACACTTCGTCCAAAGCTTGGAGAAGTTTGTCAACAATTAGCAAGTTAGCATTAATTCCCATTAATCCAATCCTGAATATTTTTCCAGAAGTCGGTCCGAGTCCTCCAGCGATCTCAATGTTCCATCTGCCAATTTAGAAATAATTTAACTTTAGAATTACAATTCTTTTTGCAGCGCGTATAATCTTTAATTTTTTGACAATATTGTACCATGACAACTACCTTAAAGCCATCTCTAAATATACAGACTAGGCCCATAACCTGTTTAAACTAAAATACTTTTTTCCAAAGAAGAACCAGTTATTAAAATAAATTAAAAAAATTTTCAGGGAATGACAGTCGCCGCAACAAAGCTAATCCTCCAATCAATCCAGTCGTCAATCCAACAAAAAGACGAGGACATGATTTGGGCAGACAGCTGTTGTCTCCAATTAATGACAAAGCAAGGACAGATGTACACCTTCCAGACGGACAACCCACTAGTCAAAAAAGATTGGATAACAGAGCTGAGACTAGCTCAACTGGCTCTAGATCCTAACAACTCACCGTCCTGGGAAGTACCAGAGCAAGAGCAAAGACCATCAACAAAGATGCCTCTGTTCGTCAGCTCACAAGCAGTCTACCACTCCCAGTACAAATCCGAAGTCCGGTGCGGCTGCTACTACACCACCCAAAACTTACGAGCAGTTCGTCGAAGAAGTTCCCGGAACCACGTGAGCTACTTATGGATTTGCACTGGCGACGGTGTGTCCAGCCACGTGACAGTTTTCGGGCAGTCAACATCGACCGCTTCCTCTGCAATTTCCCTGAAGAAAGTCAGCACTTTCGACCTAGTTGAGACTCGAGTCGCCGCTGTGGAGTTTGTCAAAGGCATCGACGACGTACAAGCTGGCGACCAAGTGTGGATGGGAACAGATTCCCGTAAAATAATTGTATACTCCGCTGTTGAGCCTGAAAAACAAGAACAGCTGGGTAACTATCCAGTGTCTGGATCTGTTATTCAAATAAAGTACCACTGCGACAACGTCTTCGTAGCTTTAGGCAGCGGATCTCTCCTCATATTCCGGCGTAACGTCGACGGGACCTGGATGATGTCCGAGCCTTCAGTAATTTGCCTGGGTCCGGATCCAGTGGCTTGTTTGATGCCAATAAACTCGACTGTCTACGCTGCCTGCGGGAAGAAAGTCTGGGTGCTAAAAGGAACCTCCGGAGAAGTCATCAAGAGCTTCAGTGTTCAGCATGAGCACGTAGGTAATGTTCATCTAATGGCTCATTCAGGAGTTGGGCTCTGGGTAGCTCTAAAAAACTCCAGCACAGTTTGTCTTTATCACACCGAGACCTTCAAGCACTTGCAGGACATAAATATCGCGTCGAATGTCCTGCGAGTAACCAAAACTTCAATTCTAGACCGCCTGTCCAATTCAAATTCCTACGGAGACAATGTAAATAATAATACCAACTCAAACAATCAAAATTCTCAGATGAATGTCAGTGTAACAGCACTGATGGCTTGCAAAGGATTGCTCTGGGTTGGAACCAACGTCGGAATAAGTCTCACCATTCCTCTTCCTAGGCTAGAAGGCGTTCCTATAATCAGTGGACGTGTTAACATTTCCTACCACGCTCATTTCGGTCCGATAACTTTTCTGCTAGCAATCCAGAGCAATAAATACAGCGTTTCTTCCAAAGAAGACGATACTTTCACTGGATCCAACTCTGGAGACGCTGAAATAGATCAGCAGTTGAGACCTCACAGGCAGGATGAAGAAATGGTCAGAAAAAGACAAGAGTATCACCGAGCTAGCTTGAACGAATCTTCAGCAGCTTCTACAGCTTCCTCTTCTTCCTTTTCTTATAATGTTGATAAATTAAAGCAGCACCTTGCTGGGAGTCCAGTTGCTCTGAGGCGAAAGCGCAACAAGGAAAATGACTTCCGTGCTTCTAAAACTTTGCCAAGAGGATTTGGGGGCGCGTTGTTGACGAACAATCCGTCCGCGGCGCTACTGTCGAATTCTATAGCCAGTTCCCAGAGTTCTGGAGAGAACTGCGACGTCTATGGGCTCTATGGGGAACTTATGTATGTTAAAGATTATGAGAATGACACTAATTCGGGGATAGATCCGATTTATGAAAGTCTGAGGCGGAGCGATCCTGAATTAGCAGCCATTCCGAACAAAGTTAATACTTTGGATAGAAGGCTAAAGATGAAGATCACTCGGCCTAGGTCTCTGGACTTGTCTAACTGGTCCGTGGACTCTCATGCCAGTTCTTTGTACACTTCTTCGGGGTCTGAGGAAAATTTGTCCAAGGGGAAGCTATCTAGGAATAGTAGCACTGCTAGTGGTGGTCAAGGGTACAATTTAGAGCCACTGATCACGCCTGGGAGTAATGTTAATGTTAATGTTAATGTCAGCTCGATTAATGTCAATGGGAGAGGCAAAGACGGGAATGGGGTGAATGTTCAAACTAAGATGAACACTGTGAAGAAAACGGGCAGTACCAATAAACGACACGGAAAGGTTCAGCAGCAGGTGGACCAACCTAAGAGGACTGTTTTGACGCTCATGGGAGGACGTGGGTATGTTAATTGGAGACAGCTGAATTCTACAACGCCTCAGCCGTTTATTGGGGATAAGAATTCGAAGGTTAGCTACTCGTTGAAAGAACCTAATAGCAATGACGCGCATATTGTTCTGTGGGAAATGAAATTGTGATTGTTTACCAAAATGTGTATTGAATATTGAATAATGTCTGCTGATAGAAGGATTTGTTTATGTTTAATAAGATTTATTAACTGGTAATAAATTATTTTTTAACATAGGATTTAATAAATATTTATTAACAGTCAATAAATTATCTCTGTTTTAAAATATTTATTGAAAAAAATTCACTGTCATGAGATTTGAATTTTTTTTCAATAATTCCAATTGATTTTAATTTCTAAGTATATATCTATAGATATATATCTAAATTATATATTTGCATAGAGCGCCTTTTTTTTAATGAATATTTATATGGAATAAAAAGCAAAAATAGCAATTTTCTTTTGACAGTTTTTACAACTCTATAACTGGAATACATGATAATAGTTTGATTTACTAAATCAATTAAAGTTTTTAATATTTAAAAATATAAAAAATAATTATGAGCTGTGATAGAATTTGGTATTTTACAATAAACGTTATTATAATCTATTTTATTAAGAGAATAAAAAAAATTTTGTTTCCAGGATAGTCATATGATAAAATCGGTTTTTTTTTTGGTGAAATTTAGTATAATTGCAAAGATCTTGACTTGAATTTGTACCTTTTCAAGGTTTCATATCATTCTCACCGATAGTCAATTTATGATGATTATTTAGGCTGCATTCAAAAATTGTCTATCTCTAGATACAAAATTAAGAAATTACCTTGTATCTCGTTACATTCATCAAGACCTTTTATTTAAGTACCCACATCAATTTTTTCATATATTTATATTTATATATATGTATATATAAAAAATATATGAAAATGCATGTGGGTACTCAAATGAAAGCTCTTGATGTTTGTAACATCAGAATGAGTTTATATCTTTAAAAATATCAATAATTAAGAAAT